CTAGAGTGGTCGGGGTGGTGGTTTGGGTGGCTAGAGGAGACAAAAAGAGAGAGAGAGAGAGAGAGAAGGGTAGGAAAAAAGAAAGAAAGAAGAAGAGTGAGCGGGGCCAGGCGGAGAGAAAGAAGAAAGAAGAAGAAAAGAAAGAGAGAAGGGAAGGAAAAAAAATTATAGTTTTGGATTGATTTGACAATTATACCCTTGGATTTAACGGTTTTTTTTACAGAATGACTATTTAAGAGTACCTATATTAACGTTAGGGATCATTAATGATACAAAAAAACGTTAGGGATGCAATGTGATAATTTCGCAAACGTCAGGGATGTTTTGTGATAATAAGCCTTAAAATATTAATAACCTCAAAAGAAGAAAAGATAAAAATGGAATACCCCCAAGTGCTTTATATCTCAATTCTCGAGCTGTTATGTTAAAAGACGAAAAGTCCATCATGATTATCTCAATTAAATTTTGTTGGGAACTATATAATTAGAAACCTCGTATCAAAATGGAAAATTATGTCTCTTAAGAATTTATGCTTTGATCAATTCTACCTGGTTACTTCATATTTGGTTTACGTATCATGTTGAAATTGCCACATTTGATGGGGTGTGATCTGTGTTCAAACACCTTAATGGGAAAAAGAAAATACTCTAACCTTCAGTTACTCATGGGAGTTAAAGAACAAGAAGAAAAACGAAATAACAAAGAGTTTTACTCATGGGATAAAATGAACATAAAAAAGCATAGAAGAAAATTGCCCATGATGAAATCACACAAAATTACTTCACCTATATGGAGCAAACAGGAAACAACTTGACTCAATATACAAGTGGCCAATCCCTCTTTACATGGAAAAACAAATATTTTCTCACTATTCTTTCGGAAAATCGCCATAGCTACCAAGTTGTCTACCTCACCAGAGCCTGAGTAGATGAGGTAAAAAGTGATAAAACTGTACAGTGTGCTATACAGAAAAAAGTATGAGTCTTCCCTCTCCAGTAAATGCACAGTAACGTTTCTTCATTCTGTGTACTATGAAAGCTCCTCTTGTTTTCCATTTAAGTCAGATATAGGTGAAGCAGTAGGAGGTCTCGATGGAGCTGGTTGTGGAGAGGGAGCCGTAAGGGCATAAGTGAGTCTTGATGATGAACTCTCAATTAGCCCAGCAACTCCAGCGGCAGCAGATTGAGCACTTGATGGGAGGAAAAGATCATGTTTTTGGTCTTTATAAGCACTCCAAATCTGAAAATGGGCAATTTTTCATTGCAAGAGCAACATTAAATATTGCTTTCTGACTAAAACTCCGTGATGAATAATCAACAATTTGTATTTTAGGTTTCAAAATCCGAAAAGATAAATACGGGTAACAAGTTGGGGGTGGGGAGTGGGGGGCTCGGGTCAGGTCAGCTAAGACAAAATCCGAGACCCTAAATTCTTGGATTGTAAAACATCACAACCCAAAACGACCAAAACCCATGTATAAACCTAGCTGGGTCTGGTTTCATTTTCCCAATCAGGTCAAGCACCGATGCAAGATGCATTAAAAAATTTTAAGCTGAATATCAGCAAACTGGGTCTGTTAGTTCGAAAATCAACATCAAAATAAAAACCATTAGCAAACTGAATTTACCAGGTTGAGTAGATTTTAACCAATTCAATCCGATTTTTATACAGAACCCATCCAACCCATCGAGGTCAGGTCAATTTGGTCAGGCTATTCGGGTTTACCAGTCGCAAGCAGCAAAGAAAGTGCAATAGATAAAGATAAGTATCAGGACTTACATCAGAGGAATTTAATAGGTCACGCACTTTAGTGCAATGGGCCCCCTCAGTTGCAAATGCATGCAATACCTGGAATAAGATAAAACACAATTTTCAAACATGCCAAGAAAACCAAGGAATGAAAAAACAGCTTCAATAGAACAATTTAAACAGGCTAATTCACCCCCACCAAACATAATCATCATATATAATTTGGCAACCAAAGAGATGAGAATTCTTGTCTGTGATTCATACAGGTAGTAAAAAAACATTAGGAAAAATTTGGAAAATAATTTTATTTTATTATTTATTTTTTGTATAGTATAAGATTTTAAAGTGGAGTAAACAACCTTTCCAAGGACTGAAAGCCCCCTCCAATTATGGGAATTATCAATTAAAGGAATTTCAAACGTTGAAATCTTCATGACACACCTAACTGGTGAAATATATAGTAATTCCTAATGAAAATAATATTTATAGTAGAACAAGCAAATGCTTTTTCTTTAACTTCAATACAGGCAACGAGAAATTCTTTTCGAATTAAAAAGGCAACGAGAAATCAGGCAAAGTAATCATATCTTTGATGCAAATGTTCTAACCTCAATTGCTAGCACCCTGCCAATAGATGCTTCAGATTCATTCCACTTCATCTGAGAGCAAAGCCCATTCCTTCCCCCAGCTCTCCAATCAAGAAGGCCAAGAAGTACTTCAACAAGACCAACCCTATATTATTCAGAGAACTTATATCAATATCAGAATCGGCAGAAGGCATAAGTTTGGCTGGAATTCAGAACATCAGCTCGTCCAAAGCTGAGCATAATCTACAAAATATATCATTTTTTAAATGAGTGTGTGCAGTGCATGGTTAGTGTTAGTTAGCATTGCAAAGTCTGGAAATGAGATCACCAGGTCTGCAAGGTGCAGACCATGCAACCATGGAATGATAAACATGGATTACATACTGGGTTGAGACTGTGTCAATCAAAAATAATAAACCTAGACTACAAAAGCTACTCACTTAAGTCCTTGTGCTACAAGTGCATCTCTAGCTCGGTTTCCAGCAACCACAACACGTTTTAGTGTCTCAAGAGCTAATATGCTTCCACCTTGCCATCCTATTGCTTTCATTAGAAGAGGAACGACCTGTAAAATTGAACAGTAATGGTAAACAAGAGGATTGAAAATGAGACAACAGCACCCTATATCGCCCAAGAGAGGACTTAAAGCTACTGTACTTCCTGCACGCAACTCCCTATTTTCTCCTAAAAAACTATTGAATATTGAATTGCGTAAAAAAAAATAACTGTTACCAAAATTTGAAGCAAATCCATTTGTGAAAGAAGGTCAAAGATAAGTATGATACTACGAGCCTGAATCTCCCAGAAATGTAAGTGGGCAGGATTTTAGATATGAGTCCTTTATGAATATTTGATAGTCCATCTATCCTTTTTAAAACGAGAATACATGGTTTTTAGATGTAAAAAGAATACATACATAAAAAAAATAGTCTTACACACCTGAGGTGTTCCTACACTAGTTGCTGCCATAGCTTCAGCACACGTGGTGCTAGCTGCCAGTTGATGAAGGACACGTAAACAACTGAGGCGCACACGTTCCTGGGGAGTTTGCGTGGGCTGTGTGGATCCATCATCAGGTTCATATGTTCTGTCCACATAACTGCCATTGTTTACCTCCCCTGATGCCATTGTTTCTCGTCTTCCTTCATAAGCCACAGCAGCCACAAGTTTGGGCACATATCCAAGATACCCAACATGATCAGCTAGTGCAGGGTGCACTCGTAGTAATGAAACCAAAGCAGCAGAAAGGAGCAAAGGAAGTTCAGGGTCAACAGCTTGTGTGTCGTAATGTGTGGCAGCAATGGATGTCAAATACTGATCTAGCAGTCCTTCCAAGAATCTCTTTGGATTTCGGAGAGGAAACTTGGGATCTTTTAGGAATAACCTAACATAGATTCCACCAACCTGCATGAGCTTGAAACTGTGAGTTCTCCAAACAATTAGACAATAAAATGTAAATATGGGATAATCATGTACTACCTGCGGCTCATCTCTCATTTCTTGCTGCCCAGATGCCTGCTCAGGAACATCCCAATCAACCACACGACCTTTCATCTGTTCACGATATAGATCTGATGCCATAGTTGCAATTTGTGCAGACAAAGAAGTAGCCATGGCTGGTGTCCATACAAGTTCCGGAGTCTCAGTAGTCTGTTCTAGGGAAACTACAACAGCCTCACCAGGACCATCCCTAATAACTGATACCAAGCCATCTGGAAGAAACCTTGCTAGTGTTATAGCAACTCTAGGCCCATGCATTGGCTGCCCAACAAGCTTCCCCAACAAAGAGGCAGCTGCTGCTCTTTGTTGCAATGAAATTTCTTCTGCAAATAATGGCTTACATCATCAACAAAATTCAATCTTCTAAATTAACATTAAGAGAAATAGGAAAAGTTTAGGAAAATTCTTTACCCTGCAAAGGCAAGAGAAGTTCAAGGATGTAGACCACTCCCCCATGCTTGGCAGCTGCCCAAGCGAGTTCTGGTGTGCTGGCCAGAGCATAAAGAACATGAAGAACCCCTTCACGACAAGTTGGGGCTGAGTGAAGCATTTGTAATAAAAGGAGAAGGCTGGATCCATCCGCAACCATAGCCTCCAAGCAGGGAGCATACGTAGTCAAGAGTGACAGCACACTCAGGCAAAGTTGAGGAATGTTGC